TATATTTACTGTACATGTATCATTTCATTTTAGTTTTTAAAAGATTCTCATCAGTTTTATAACTGAACTTAAATTCTTACAAATTCTCACATTTCACCACCTCTCAACAGCCAGTCAACTAGGATTATACCTAAGCACAAAACATTACTTGGTCATTTTTGTCCTCATTAGGTCATTGTCTGCATCTTATCTACCTGTTTTCACGTTCATACATCTCTTTTGAAGTGCTTCTTAGTTGCTCAATTTCTTGATTTGTTTTCAATCTTATTTGTTCCAACTCTTCATGCAGTTTTTTTTCATATTCTGTTTTATAGTGGTCTCTGTAAATAAACAAGCACACAACATGGGAATTTAAAATTAATTCCACTGGCCAAACTATCAAAACTTCAGGTACAGATGTAAAAGTACAGCAGAGAACTTCTTGATTTTAAATTCTTATTGAATTCCCTTCCAAATGGCTTGAAATACATATTACCCTACATTGTTATGCAAATTAAGTGAAAAATCAATCACAAATAATTAATACTTAATTGGAAATAAATAAAAGCTTTCTGCATACTTTATTTTTTTTTTTTTAAATAGTTTGACATTGATTAATCATATGGTTCAGGTTGGAAGGGACCTTAAAGACCATTGAGTCCCAACCCCTCTGCCATGGGCAGGGACACCTCCCACTAGAGCAGGTTGCTCAAAGCCCCATCCAGCCTGGCCTTGAACACCTCCAGGGATGGGGCATCCACAGCTTCTCTGGGAAACCTGTTCCAGTGTCTCACCACCCTCACAGGAAAGAATTTCTTCTTAATATTGAATCTAAATCTCCCCCCTTGCAGTTTAAAACCATTATTCCTCATCTCATCACTAGTCCTAATCATGAAACATTAGGCTTAACATTCTTCAATAAATTCTTTGTCAGCCCCTACATAGTGTTTATATTAATTAACCACTTCAAAAAAATTAAATTAATTCCTCCCTTTCCAAAGCTTTCTAGCTTCTTCATCACTGCGTAAGGGTTGATTAGCTTGCTAACTTACAATTCTGCCATGCTACTACAAGACTCTGTTGTGTACTATTTGCACCTCACATGGTGGGGGAAAAAACCATCACAAGAAACATTGAAGATTACATGCTGTGGAGATTTGTGAAGTCAAAAGCCGACAAGATTTGGAAATTTATCCTGTCTATGTGACATATAAGTTAATTAAAATACATAAGCTTTTAAGGAGCAGATATCAGAGGATTCCAGGATAAAAGACTTTCATTTCAGAGTAATATTGACATATTTTTTAACTTTTAAAGCTCATGACAGACTGTAGGGAATCTCATAAAGAGCGTCTCCTACTAAACTACAAGAAAAAAAAAAGAGTTATGTTGTAAGTACTTAACAGCTAAGGAATGTTACAATTTTATAACATCTAGTTAATGTTCAAGAATAATCAATCAGCAGTGAAGCAACTGGTAGAAATTACAGGTTTGGAAATAAAAGGATGTTTATGAAGAGATATGCATTTACAACTGTAACATTTTTTAGATTTCTCCTAATTTCCAACTGTATGATACCCCATAATTTTTAAAAATTGGGACTTGAGCTGGCCAAACACTCTTTCACATTAACTAAAAGCCCCAAAATATTTAAGTGCCACAATGCTTTCTGTCCAGGTTTGCCTGTTTCCTTTTTATTGAGACACTGAATTTCAGTGAAAGAATGCTGAAGATCAGGACCTCAGGATACAATTCTTACGTGCAGAATCAACGAGCATACCGTTTTCTTGGTACTTACACAATTTGCTATTACCATTACTACTTGCCAAAAAGAAATTCCTGTCACTGCAGAAATTACACCTTCCCTCCCATAGTAAGTCTGTTAAAAGTAAGGAAGATTCACTGAAAAAATTAGGAGAATCTGCAAAAGGCTTGAACACCCAGTGATGTCACCAGAAGACAGTTCAAAGTGACGCTTATCTTTATGATGACTAAAATAAGCAATGCCTTTTAATAAACATCAAATTGCTGCTGAAACAAAGGACTACCATTTGTGATTTTTATTCCTGATCCGCTGTTATAGTCTTTTGCTTGAGCAGTAATTAAAAGCTTTTTTGCTTTACTAAGTTGTTTCACCGTCTTCAGGCTGCAGGCTTTAATGAGCTTCTTTACAGGCCTGTTATTCATAAAGATTTGTACTGTGAATAAAATAAATGTGATCTGAGCATCTCAATGCAACTGTGGTTTGTGTTTTAAGATTAAACATATAAAGGGAAATCTTTTGCGTTGGTCTGTGCTTACATATTGACTCCCAAGAACCGTAGCTATGAGCTGCTGCCATTCATCTTGCCACAATCTCAACCTATTTTGAAGTGTGTCTTTTTTAAAATAACTCCAGGTTAATCCCTCAGTTTCCTACAGTCTGTGATTTTCTAACTACAGTACCCCAATGCCAGCAGTTCTGATGGTGACCAGAAGGTGAATTATTCTTCACTCCTAAAAAAGATACTTGGCTTTGTTACCATATTCATTCCTGAACTACAGCGACCAAAAGACATCCAGACGCAAAGTGAGCAATAAAAAGCCTCAAATGTTTCAAAATGTAGCAAACAGAAGCTTATTATCCAAACTGATGTAGCCCTGAGGCCTGTAGAATGGCCATTAGTTGGTACAGTCTTCTCCTGCTCTACTTTTGTACCTCTCTAACTTACCTGATAAATAAACAGTACTCTGTACAGCTCTCTAAGAAACCTAATACCATAGATATTTGACCTGAGAGATGGATGGTTTAAACTGCTGAATAGACAGGAACCCCAATGTGGGATGCAGTCTCACAAGATGCACACAAAGTGTGTACACGTGCATGGACAAATGTAAAGAAGGGACAGCTTCTCCACTATTGCAGATCACACGCAGGTTTTAAAGAACTTTACAAAAGGATACCATTACCCCCATTTTACAAAAGAAATCTTACATTAGCATAATTTTCCATTACATTTTTACACTATGAAATGACTTATCCAAAGTTCAGCAGCAGAACAGCACAGAACCTTCAATACAACCTAGGCTGCCCAAGTGGCGTGCAGTCCTACACATGCTGCTCAATACACTGTTTTCTCTGCTACGCTGCAAAAGACAATAATGGTATCTAGAGGAGAGCAGACGTACCTGCATTATTCATCACAATTAATAACTGTCCTATGAAAATTATCATCATGAAGAGTCACCAATACCAAGGATGTCAAGAGAGGGATTTGGTAACAATATAGAATCTCAGTGACACTATCAAGATCTCTAAAGGCAAAGTAAGAGTCACAGAATTTCTCTTTAGTTGCTATCAAAATGCAGGACACCTCCAATATCCCAGACAACAGGGAGGTAGGGTAGCACAGTATCCCCAACTGTGGTAGAGGCGAGCTATATACATCTCTGTCCAGGTTCCTCAAATGGATACAGCTCTGTAAAAGTGTCTCTACGTCACTATTACAGGATAAGGATTTCACAGTCATTTTCTAGAAATAAAAATCTATCTACAAGAGTCACCGCTTACAAGACTATTCCTAGAGGAAGACTGCTCAGATCTACATGATTTTTTAAAACCCCATTTAAAAGCAAGTCTTAAAAATATATGTAAAATGCAGAAGTTCCAGGTGAATTAAGTTCTGAGATATACATGTAAAACAAATTTTAAAAAGTTTAAGTGACTGCATTGAAAGGAAAAATAGTATAAAAAACACTTCTGATGATAAGCAATATGGGCTGGAATTCCACGGCTGATAATTTCAGTCGAGTGCTCTTCCATTTCCATTTAGATAACAATTTGTATTTCAAAGTTGCATTAGAAGAGAGTCACGTTAGTATATTTCATCTTAGTTATACAGGACACGAGATTTATAGATGCTTTTTGCAGTTCTGTCTTCTCAATTCAAACAGAAGGAAGCAGTTGAAGAGAAGATGGACCTATTTCATACTCTAAGCTCATTAATTCCATATACATGCATTTTTTTAAGGACAGTACTAACTACTAATGAAGTACATGCAGGAAAATATTTCATGTAATTTTGGGATCTATATTGAAATGGGTTTTTTTTTTGCATCTAGATGTAGCGAAATAACATGAAATGGATAACCATGAATTTGAAAAACCTAAATATGGTTTGAAATTTTATAGTATAGCAGTACATATGTAGCAAGACATGTAGGTAAACAGCATAGTGTTTCCTGTTCAACATCCCGTACGTACATATATCTATACCAATTAAAATAGCATGAAGATTTGGCACTACTTACCATTGCAAATAGCATACAAAGATTGACTTATTTCTCAAGGCTACATTTAGGGAATCTATTCAAACTTGAGATATGAAAGACTGATAGCTCTAACAGCTGATATGAAACATACGATATCCTATTTTAAACATTTGTGAAAATTAAATATATTTTATTCTGCAATAATAATTTATTTTGTCTTTCAGACAACAACAGACAACTCCTGTTTTTAACAAATGTCATTTGGGGCAGGGAGGGTGGAGATATGTAACGTATGCACTTTAAAGAGTTTTTTCTCTCTTTTGTAATTAACTACAGTTAGCTCTGTAAATGTCTATATACACCTAAGAGAACAGCTGCCATAAAATTTTAATGCTGACATCTTCACTGCCATGGTCTAATATCAAAGGTGTAAAAAAGTTTCATGATACACATTGAGACCCAACAGAAGTGTTCTGTTTCTAGTTACACAAATACGGACTAGCTTTCTGAAAGTTAAGGTTTCTTTATTAAAACAGGATTTGTGCAAGAAACAAGGGAAAACAGTTAACTAACTTTGTCTACTGATAGAAATGAACACACAGTAACTTACCTGGATGCAACATATTTTTCATACATTTCTTCCCTAGCTTTTTTGGCATCCTCCAGCTGAATCTGAAGTCTTTCAAGACGATCTTCTTCATGTGCACAGCGAACACTAAGCTCCATGTTTTGGCGATTAAGATAATCTTTATCTTTTTGCAACAGGTTAAGGGATTGCTGTATGGTTGCCAGCTATAAAAGGCATTAAAAAGAACACTTAACAGGAACTTCAAGATAAGTATTTAACCTATGTACACATACTTTTGATTTCATTTTAACTCTCTTCTTTGAAATCACCTGAACCAAAACCCTATATTTACACTTATGTTTAACATAAATTGGTGAAACTTTATGCTGAAAGAAGACGTTCGTAAAATTATAATTTTATTAGTTTTCATGATTTCTGGTACTTGGCACCTGGAAGAGAGAGTGTCTTTAATCTACTTCAGTATCTAAATAGTATTGATTAGTGATAGTACTAAACAGTCAACTCAACTGAATGTCAAGTCTTGGTGCCAACCTGTCATCATACTGGCTACAACATTCTCAGAAACAGAAGTGAAAAGTTTAAGGGCACCAGAGTGATTATTGTTCTGTAATGAAATAGTGAAACCGCTAGTTCTGGGCTGTACTACATCATGATGATTGTTGACAGGGTAATGTTTCAGGCTAGCACCAAGGGCAAAGAAGGTTCTGCATGCCTTGGTTTGACTTTTATTTAGCATGATGTTGCTACAGAGGGCTGAACTGATGCTAAAGTAGAAACATGAGTATCTTGCAAGTCTCTAACAGCCCTCCCAATCACCAGATCAGTCATCTTTACTAATCCAAGAAGAAAGCACTGTGGGAGAGAGTAGTTTCCATCTCTTCAAGGTGAACAGTGTCAGAGAACAGCCACACAGCATAATGGCACTTGTGCAGAGTGGCCCAACTCATTACTCATCATAGCAAAATGCAGTTTTATCACCTTAAATAATTTTGCCATTTAAGCTCCTGAGGATGCCACAGACCAAGTTCAAAGAATGATAAATTAATAACTTATCAGAAATATGTTCCCCAAAGCTATAAAGACATCATGTACGTGCTTTAGATAGAATTCCCTCTTCCTGAGTGATGAAAGGACTAAAGGTTATTTAAGGGGTACACTCAAGTCAAGGACATGGAACAACTAGTTAAACAGTTGAAAATTCGTACCAAAAAAAGAAAGAGAGCTCTTAGAAGCATGCTTCTCTCCCTTTGCCTGCTTGCTAAGAATCACAGAGGGTGAGGTATTAATGCCTGCCCTATACTTTGTTTTATTTAAGAAAAAAAAACACAAGTGGCCCCTCTTTCCAAGTAACAGGTTATACATATATTCCCAATGAACACAGACAGCATGCATTACTATTTGAAGTAGGAGTTGCTACCCCTCCAACTCCTCCTTCCCTGGAATAAATACTGTGCAAACACAGTTGTATGCTCTTCCAATCCATAATTTGTGATACTGTATCAGCATACACAAAAACCACCACAGATGTTCCAGGAGATCCAAGTAATCACACAGCTAGAAGTGGTAGTTCAGTTTAAAGTAGTGCTACTTTTACTCCTTCTCAGATTAATTCAGTATAAAGTTCATGAAAAAAAGGCATTGCTGCTGCTACACTGCAGTACTTGATGCATACGCACAAACATGATGTATATGACTTTTTTGCCATTGTTATTTGTTGACAACAAACCTGCATTTTGATGTTCTCTTACAATGCTAGAACACTGATGAATAAACAGCCCAACAAAGCCTTCAGACTGACAGAAGAGAGGAGAATATAAAAGATATTTTCTAATAGAAACTCAGTTTCTTCCCTAGTGTTTCAGAGTATCTCTATGGCTACCTGTAAAATCAGGCAGAGGAGTACTATCTTTAAAGTGATAGTTATACCCACTATTTTATCTGTAACACTGTTCTACAGAGACATTAAGAAACAATCATCTCCCCTGAATTCCCTCAGGTGTAACGGGTCTCATTTACCCAGCAGACAAATCATAACACACAAAGATGCGCCATTTGATTGTTGCCTGGGCCAGTACAGAACTCAAGAAAAACCTTCTTCATGCAGTGCCCCTTCTGTATCACATTAAAAAATAAATTTACAAATTAATTCAAAACAACCAAGCGATTATTTTTCTATTCGTTTCAGTGCTTCCTAGAAAGATTTCTATTCAGAAACACAGCTTAAAAAAAGTCTTATTTTTGCATCGAAGTTGCACTGAACTACAAACCATCTGATAACTAGTGAATGACGATATAAACTGGATAATATGGATTAGCAAGGTAAATACAAGTTGAACAAACTAAACATGAGCCAGAAGTGTGCCCTGACAGCAAAGAAGGCCAAGTGCCTACTAGGCTGTATCAGCAACAATGCAGCCAATAGGTTGAAGAAGATTGTTATCACTCTGTATTCAGTGCTTGTTAGACTGTATTGGGTGTGCCATGTCCCATTCTATATTCCCCATAAAGGCACACATCAACACACTGGACCAAAGCCAGAAGAGCTCTACTAAGATGGTCACGGACTGGACGTAGCACGAGATGTACAAGGGGTTGAGAGAAACAGGGTTTTCTTCAGCCTTGAAAATAGAAATCTGGATAGGGAAAGTCTTACTGTTATCTTCATCTATCCAACTGGAACACATAGAAAGAGCCTGACTCTTGGAAGCGCATAGTGACAGAACAAGAGGCAAAAGAAAAAAGCTGAAACAACTCTGATTAGATTTTACAAAACCTTTTTCACGAAGAGCGTGGACAAACACTGGAACAGATTGTCCCAAAAGGCTGTGGAATCTCTGTCCTTGGAGACATTCAAAACCTGACAAAGCCCTAAGCAACCTGACCTAAGCTGGCTCTGCATTGCATGGAAGGGTTGGACCAGCCGGTCTCCTGAAGACCATTCTAATTCATATCATTCCATGATCCTGACAGACTTAATTAGACAAAGAATCAAATTCCCGAAGTGAAGAAATAGACAATTACTGAAATAGGCACTTTATGTTTACCTCTTTTGATAAATCATTTCTTTCTTTAGCTTGTGCTTTATGCGACGCCTCTAATATTTCATATTTTCTTCTGAGTTCTGACAATTCATGTTCAAATACATCACGTTCACTGTTAAAATAAAGTGAAAATATTAAATGCATAAAGTGCAATGAACAAGATTCCTATGCATTTGTAATTTCTCAGCCTTCTTTCAGTTCACGGCATTGACTTCTTCCAACCAGTTACTCATAGGGGAATTAGTGACAATCTTACCCTTTTTAGTTATTAACACCTGCAACAGTATCTTATTTTATGAACAAAGAGTCTTCATTTCTAAGTATTTAAAAAATAATCCTAAATTATAATACAATAATCCTGAATTCTCTCCTAAATTACTTCATCCTCCTCTGATTATGGTTCTTTAGTGTAACTTTGGGCTATACATTTATCTTCTAGCAATGAACTGCAAGTACCGTTGTCCATCCTTTTAGTTTTATCAAGCTTTTGATGCTATTTCCCATGACATTCTCTTGAATTTTTTGCAGAAACTGAAGTTGGATGAAAAAGTAAAGCAATTTAATTCCCATCATCCTAATCAAATAGAAAGCAATGTATACTTGTTCTTAGTTGCTACTCTCCCTTGCACACAGCCCCTTAATACCACAGAGGGTTGTACTACTCTTCTCATGTTTAAAATATACATGACACAGCTGCAAAAGTGATGCTGGTATCCTGAATCAGAGTGCTTCCTGTATGCACAAAGAAGCAGTTCTGTCTCCACTCTATCTGACCCTGTCAGAACAGAGAAATGAATGAGCCAGTATGAACTTCCAGTTTGGAAAAAAGCTAACCAGTTTTATATTAAGCATAACATAGCTTTAAAACTGAGATAACTTGTAGTACACCAGAACTAGAAGATTTGACATAGCATTTTTAAAGGCAGAAACGAGCCTGGAAGTGATTAACTCCTGCAATGCTCCCAAATATCCTCATGCAGTCATGCCAAAACAGTGCTCTCCCCTTCGTCTGTGCCCTACCCAAATGAATACAACCTACTCTCTCAAATATAGTTTTGGCACGTTCATTCATGCCTTTTTAAACTCAAGACTATTTCAAATGTACACTGTTAAACACTGGGGCCATTCACATGAAAGTTATTACAATCCACTTATTAAGATGCAGTTGCACATGGGAAGCAAACCATAGCATCAATCCATCCTATTTGCAACAAGCTTCCAGGTAGATTCCAAAGTTGGTTTAGTACATATAGCTGTGAACAGCTATAAAGAAGACAGACTTCCTTCAAATGACTTACTGGCAAAGTCATTTGTGTCAGTAACTGTGCCCGAGTTCATTCAGTATGAGCAACTAAGGAGCTGACAGGGTATTTGCTATTCATAATCCCCATTTTTTAAATCTATTTCCCAACAAATGTGCCAAAGGCCAGATTTCTTGCACTTGCAAGCACACTGAAAAAGCAGTTTGGGAGCTGGACTGTGAAATATACACCTATGAGTGTATTTATAAGAAGTCTGTTTTCACTATTTTGCAATTGTTGCTTATAAGATGGGCATTCAAAGTATAGTCTAGAACTCTAAAATCCGTATTTTTAAAAAGAAAAGAGACCCTGCAGTTAAACCAATTCACTAAGGTAATCCTAAGGTTCTCTGACAAAGAGTGCTTATAACAGCCCTTTCAAATTTCTGGTTGCAAGGATATCTTAAATTGATAAATATTAATCCCCAAGGCCCTACCCTCTTAATTCACTGTGTAGACACCACACAGTAGAGCACAGGACCTTTTGTTAGATCATTGCTTTTAAACTAGGGGAAAAAAAGAAAAAAAAAGAGTATTTGTTCTAAGATGCTTGACACCAACAGCTCCCACTTCTTTAGTTGCAATGAGACTGGCAGACGCTTCTGAAAACACAGTAAATCTCTAAATTTAAACTTGTAGGAAGATAATTTGATGCATCACATTTCACAGTGTTGTTCATCTTATGCTGCAATATACTACAGGAAATAATTGAACTGTTAGTAGATTGAGGTAATGAAAAATCTGTGGTGCGCATAAGCCAAAAATCAAATTAAAAACTCTAGTCAATCAAGGTTGACGTTTATCTATTAACCTTTGTATGTCAGTAGAACACTTGAACTATAGAGATACCTACCTTTTTACTTTATCATAGTTCTCTTGTCTATAATCACCTTGCTGAATCATCTGCTTGGTATCAGCCAGTTCCAATGTTAAACGCTGGCATCGAACCTCAAGCTCCGACCGATTCCTCCTCTCCTCTTCATAGCTCTAGAAGACAAAACATTTTGAAATGATCACAACTACACTGATATTTAAAACAATCACCAACCAAGTTTTGTGATGACCTCTTATGAATATTCAAGTGGTAGCATTTACATTTGTCTCGGTATTTGGAAATCTAGCACACATCACAAAGTAACCTGCTATACTGATACTCAACTTATTTTTATCTCATTCTAAACTGTTGATTGATGCACCTATTTTTTCTAACATATGTCCTTTAGTACCACTTCGAAGACCAGTAACCCTCATATATACAGCTGGTGGTCTACACCTTTATAACATTGTCAAAGAAGTTTCCTTGTGAAGATACTTGCTGGTGCATTTGAAATAAAGAAACAGGATCAGGGAACTTGGGAACTTCTGACATTATATGAAAAATTTCAGCCAGTTACAATTTAGGAGCATCTGGTAACTTATGGTTGCTGAAGCATATAATCCAAAGCTATGGTGAAAGAAGGAAAAAAAAAAAAAAGAAAAAGAGAAAAGGGGCCTTTTTCAGATTTCTCCCCTGCCTCCACTTGGTGGAGTCTACTGTAGAGAAGGAAGAAAATGTCGCATGGAGGCAAGAAGGACTGGCATTAGAGCTATTGTGGCCATCATGGCTTAGATGGGTATACTCTCTGCTGGGTTAAAAACTTATTTACTGGTCTATCAACATTAACTTCCATTCTTCCACTTCTTCCACATATACTTTGAGAAACTACTATGGGAACTTTCATTTATATTTCATAAGCCTAGTAATTTTCGCTTGCACTAAAATCCCATTAGATCACAATCACAAAATTACAGCACTAAAAGTTTTCCTAAGATTTTGGATGGCATATCATTAAGAATACGTCATCTAAGGACTCTATTGTTATTCATCCTAGCATACTGGTATATATGGCTTATTTTTATGTTTACCCTAATTAATGGATTAAGCAAATTAACACCATAGAACACTTTCTTCTTAAAGCAATTAACTTGCCATCATTTATAAAGGTGACATTATAATAACGGTAAAGCCTCTGTCAGCTGTTTTTAAAGGTTTAGTCTACAAGTAGGCAAGAGCTTCAAATAGGTAACATACAGGTGGAAGTACCCTGCTATACGGTGCAAACATGACTCATCTTGCATTAGGAGATGGTGGTAAGGGCACTTAACTTTTAAGTGCAAATTGAAAGATTAAATTTGGATACAATTCCTCTGTGGATAGATATCCTGTGCCATCCTGCTGCTAATACCATGCTGGAACTCATACACCCTTCACAGTTATCGAAGCTCCTACGGTATTACACATTTAGCAGCTCAAAGACAACTACCCAAAGTACAAAATCAAATTGGTTAACCTTTGGACAAATTTGTCATAAACAGCTCTAAAGCACAAATTAACAGAACAATTAAATATCTACAAAATCAGTTCCTTCTAATACCCGAGATCTAAACTAGATTTTGAATTTTACTTAAATAAGTTGTTAATGTTGTGTAACAGTAACCACTCCAGGGAAGGGGAAGGAAGTTAAATTCTTTTCAGAAGCAATAGCAAGACATATTTAAATTATCAAACTGTTAAACAGATAATTAAAGAAAGGAGGGTTGGTTTATTTTGTTTGTTTTTTAAAGATTTACTATAATTCTTGAATACTAATTCTGCTGCATAGATCACTGTTTTCCAACTACCTAATCTTCTAGGTGTCAAAGCTGCACTTCAATCACAGGAAAAAATATGACAAAGCAAGTTAATAAACAGTCTACAGGCTAACACACACAAAAATCTTATATGGTAAGTATATCTCCAGGTAGCACATACACAGGCTTCTGGAATTCTACAGCAATACATCTTAAAGACATACAATCAAGCTGCCTGTGTTTATGAAAAATAACCCTTGCTTTGCATGTAATGAAGTTAATTTAGTTTATAACAATGGCCATATAGCCTGAACTGATTTTAAGATCTCTGCAGTTGAACAACTTTATCTTTCAATTTATCTTCAAGAGATAGCTTGGAAGTCTCGACGAACTGCTTTGTCCTGCTGAAGCAAAAAGGAGGTTTTAAAAGGATCAAGATACAGAGCACTTTCAAGGACATGAATGAGGTCCTGGAAATAACACCAGTAAATAAAAATAACTCAAGTCCACAAACTGTAAAAAAATTAAAACGCCAAATAGTACCTCCTCACATAGAACATGATTGTGATGATCCTGCCAACAACGTATGGCTTTTCTTTAGCTTCTTATTAATTTTTGCTACTGCAAGAGTAGCAAGTCAGATAGATATTAGGTGGTTATCACAACCCAACCTGTCCCATGTGAGATGAGTAAGCAAACATTGCCTGAAGAAACTGTTAACAAGTTGTCCAAGAGACCAAACATTAACCAGTACAAGTGGTTTCTACAGAGCATGTGAAGCACTCCCTACTAAAAAATGCTTCCATTTGGTTTACAAACACTGTTGACATATGTTTCAAGAAGATTCTGAACTTGCCTGATGCACCATTAAAGACCTAAACTGGTAGAGAAACTAAAGATCTAATGACAGAACCCAGTTTTATGGTATTAAACTTTACAGTTACCCTCCATCTGGAATGAATAGCAGCTTATAGCAGTCACTGAAATGAACACCCACATAAAGTTCAAGTAAAAAAAAAGGGTGACATATAATACATGGTAGGGATTAGTTGATCATTCAAAAAGCCTTTAGGGATAAGAAGATAAACAACAGAAATGCAAGGAATAGATTCATCAGCCAATCAAGCAGAAATAGCATGACTTCTTCACACTGTCAACAGATAAGCCCGTGGAAGATAGTGACCTTGCTTTTAAAAAGCCTATTTAAAATAATTTCACCTTTGAAGGATCACTTACACAAGCCAGCATTTTTTGCTCATATCCTAAGGTACCTAAGGCCCTAGGCAAATGCAAAGCTACTGTACTATTGTGATGTGAAAACCAACTCCCTCAAGTTATTTGGATGAAGTGCTGCTAGTTAGTAAAGCTGACACTTTGCTTCAGTCTGCTTACATAGTATGCATTCAAAATTTATTGGTCAGCACATTATTTATTTGAATACAGATGCCCAAATGTCAAAAAGAAATTATAAATAACTGAATGAATAAGACATCTCTTCTAGTATGTTGATATGAAATTGGTAATCTGCCAAGGGCTGTAGATGGGGCGCTATCTGCCACTAAAATCACACACACACAAAAAGTTGAGCTACTTCCAAAACAGGGAAGCTCTGCAAGAAAGGTAAGAAAGAAAAGCTTTGGCTTAAGTGCCTCTATTGCAAAAGAAAGTGGAGGGAATAAAAAGCCCTTTCTCTCTGCATCTGAGCTGATGAGAATCTTCAATGAAATAGTCCCAGGTGAAAAGGATCCTTAAGATCATTGCGTTGGAGACTAGAATTAAGCCATTTGGTCCTCCTGAACAACAACCATCAATCTATACAAGCCATAGCTATATATCAAAAGAGATAGAAAGACACTGGATAGAAAGGGGGAATTCTACAGATCCATATGTTTTCTTGAGTCTCAAGATATGTTGTAACTGCTGCCCCAAACTAATAGTTATTAGTAGAATATTTTTCTACCAATGTGTATAAAGATGAACAAACACCACACTCACAGCAGTACCTGCAGCTTTTTTTTCCTTAACAAGATCAATATGAACAACAACAAAGAAAAGAAGGCACATACCTCACCTAAGACAGGCTCCATCTGTTTTTTCTAGGCCAACACAAAAACCAAGTAATCAAAGCACTGCTTGAAAGAATTAGTGTCAGGGGGTGGAGAAGGGTTCTAGAGTAGAGTCTTTAATTACAGATGTGCAAACTTCAGAAGAAATCTTAGGGAATGCAGTCCTTCTGGAGTAGCAACAGTAGCCTCAATTTTACAACATTCAGACACATCTAGTGCCAACTGAACCTTTGAGTGCAATAGCTTAGTTCATTCTTTGAAGACTATAGAAACGTTTTTCCTACAGCTGGGAAACATTATCACAGAGAAAATTGTTAGGTATGTCTAGCAAAGCCTGACAGCTACTAATCCCAATTCAGAGATGAGGCCTTAGAAGAGAACTTTGTCCTACATAGATCCAGCTTTGTCTTTAAGCTAACCATAGCTTTTAGATAACTCTCATACTATAAATGCGATTGCAAGTTCTGAAGAACCTTTACAGGAAAAAAAATAACTAAAGAAAGGAAGCCCCAATAAAACTTTATCAAAACCAAATTCCAGGAAAACATCGCCAAGAAACTCATAGCCGAAGAAGCAATACTTAATCAAAGAAAAGCAGGATTTCCTTCTCAGACTCTCTCCCAGCCTTGAAAGGAACATGCAAGTAGTAAATTACAGCTGTTTGAGGGAAGGTTCTAGCTACTTTGGACGCAAGCAACTCTGAAAATAGTACTGATGCTCAGCATGGGAACACACACATCAGAAGCTAGCTTTGCTTCTGGGAAGCTCCTGGTAATACAGCTATAGCTGGACTTTCTCTATTTGTACCTCTGAGTGTGGTGGTGCCAACATTATTTGAAGTACTGAGCACTGTAAAAGAAGAACTGAAATGAGACCGTACTATACATTTGGTAACAGATCACTCAGCACTGCAACACAAGAACGTCACTCTCACCAGTTCCAGCTCCTCCCCTCAGTCTGCTGCTGCACCTAGAATCAGAGGAACTGCACCAGCCTAAATCACAGCTGCAACAATTGTGTACAGAGAGTCATCAACTTAGTGGTGGTACTGCAAAACCACTTATCCTGACTGCTTTCAGAACACAAAGCCGTGACAAAGATCTTTTGACACGGGCTGTGTTTATCAGATTATGTTCCAGTGCTAGAAATTGGTCTTCACACACCGTTCTCTGCTACCAGTTGTCAGAAGCAGCTGCCCACCCTCCTGGGTCTGTGTTACAGATTCAGCAAGCCTTGATTAAGTGCTAACTCGGAGCAGCAACAGACAATCAACAAGAGAACTTTGTCACAAAATCGTAGAGTTTTAGTGGTCTTACTGCTCAGCATATAAGAATTAAATGAGTGCTAACAGAGGCTGATACACACTTAGGGCCTTCTCCTCCTTCTGAGCAACAAAAAAAAAAAAATTTTCATATACCTAAAGTACAAATACAGGTGACAAACCAAAAAAATATATGTATTTTCATATACCTAAAGTACAAATACAGGTGACAAACATTTGAAAGATGTCTTTTATGCCCTGAAGTCAGAAATAAAGTTTTCTAATACAAATGAGTTAAGAAATTGCCTAAAGAACATGCGGATTTCTTCAGTCTTAGAAAATTAGTTTCTACACTGCTACAATGACAATCCAATTTTAACACAACCAAGCTTCCTAGCTGGTACAGCTGAATGCTTATAAACTCAGTCGGCTAAGAGGCCACAGTAACAGGACACTGCACTCAATTTTGTCAGGCTAGATGTGTCATGCAGCGTGTAGCAAAAAAGATGCAGTAGATTTGAAGACCTGATTTTATACAACCGATATTCAGCTGTATCCACTCGTTGTAACAGCATTCAGAGAACGGAACTGTACTGCTTTGCTTTCCCACAAAACAGTATAGAAAGGCTCGTGAGAAGAGAAAAAATTAAATAATCCACGTGTCTTCCATTCACACTCCAAAACAAGAACAGTAAAAACAGAGCTCATTTCCTTTGACCAAATTAAAGAACTACAACCATCCCGTCACAAAATAAGATACCTGATGTTAGGCAATGGTTGTCTTATTTGAAAAATTCAAATTTTCTTAGAGTCAGCTCAACACATTGAACAAATTCGGATTTTCCTTTAAACTTTCTCAATTCTTCGTTGGCTAGATAGACTTTCCCCTAAATCTATACCTAGTTCATATTTCTCATTACTTTACTTCTGGGTGAATATCTAGATGTTTAAAACTTACTCAAACCTAAGTTGTCAGCCATGAACAACCAGCAAAGCCAGCAAAATCCTCCTACCCCAATCCATTAGTAGTTAATACAAAGATTTTTGAATAAGCATGTATTTTAGTTCCTTTCCATGTTCCACAAAGAGGAAAAAAACCATGTTGAAACTCATTAGGAAGAGCCTTAATTATTTGCAATAGTAGAAAAAATGAATGCTTATTGTAGGATGTGGTTTATTCTCACAGGGAAAAAAAAAAAAAAGAAAAAAGAGATTGTCTTAAGTTCAGTGATGATTAGATTTCAAAAGTCTGTATTAGTAGTTTCTTAAAGAAATTTTAAAAAAAAAAAAAAGAAAAAAGGGATTGTCTTAAGTTCAGTGATGACTAGATTTCAAAACTCTGTATTAGTAGTTTCTTAAAGAAATTTTAAACCCAGAACAGACACTTTGTTGATAAACTATGAAGAGAACAAGAATATTGCAAATGCTGAAGAAAAATTTAAAGCTTAAGAAATTTTGGATGGGAAACCAGAAGAAAGATATGAAGAATGTAAGTTACTAAATAACAGGCAAGGAACTTCTGCAACTAAGTAGCTGGAAATAAAGAATTATGGAATACCAGAAAAACAGTAAAAAAAGAGTATAAGAGTTTAAGTAAGACTCTAAATGAAACTGTGCTTTATTTCCTACTGATAAACTTCCTTGCAAAAAAGCTTGACTTACCATAGCAGCTCAAATAAATAAGCCAGCCCAACAGTACACCTTGCAACCACTTCTTTATAAACCGCAAAAGATGCCTAGGTATGTTAGCTTCAGTGTACTAGTGTATTAAGGATTCTAAAGCAGCCTCACCTATTGATGATGCTCCTCTCACTATCTGAAACAGCTGGACGTATCCTGTTATAGTGACACTCATCAAGTCACTAGGTCAAATCTGAACTCACCAGAAGCAAAATACAGAGACTCTTAAGTCTTTTTATACATAAAATAGCTCTTATCAGGTCACATTTCATTAAATAGGCAATTATTTTTATGCATATGGATCTGAAACTCAAGAATTCTAAGGAATATATTTTTATTAATATCTGTAGGCCTGTTCTTGTGACATTTCAACATCTAGATCTCTTCCCTAACGTATTTTTTAAAATAAGATATTAATTCTTATTAGTTGTCTCTCCTTTTAAGCATGATCATGCAAACAGGTTATAAACATTCAAAGAACCACTTCAGTTCAACACAGGCAACATTCTAGTGCTTTCTCATCAGCATCAAAAGAAAAGCACAGCAAACTTCAAACTTTAAAAAAACAAATCCGTGGGACAGGCGGATACTGCCACCATGTGGCATAAAAAGAAAACCATTAGAAATTTCAATATTAAAGAAATGTCAATGTACCAAGAAAATTGTTCCTAGCACAACTTTAATTATTGATCTACTACCTTGTTAAATTGCTGCAGCAAAAACATTAACATAGATGTTGGTCAAATCTCAGAATGCTGAAATCCTTCTGTAGAATTTAATTAAATCAGAGCATATAAAAAGTACAATGATGGGAAATGCTCATGTAAATCAAAGTTAACAGGATTAATTTAATCTCAGCTATGACCAGAGATGATGACACGAAATAATGCTCAAGCACATAAATACACAAATTTTATTGACTACTGTTTCTAATTCAATCCAAAAGAGAAATTAAAAGAATATGAATTTCACAAGATAATCCTGTATAATTAATATCTCTTTACACTCAATTACTTCATACGTAAATTTCAAGGAGAAACAAGATGCAGTAACAACAGAATAATTTCAGAAGTGGTAAAAGAGACAAGAACAACATAGTAAGAATACTATGAATATTCACAAATACCTTAAAAAATACTATTCTTATACTGTTTCAACAGCTTTGCTCTTTGAAAGTAAAAATTAAATGGTTTTAGAGAATTTGTTTCTCCACTTCTGACATTTATAACTTACCTGAAAACAAATTATATTTTAGTATGGAAATAAAAAGGAAAATTAAAGCATAAAAAGTCGTAAAGCATAAGAGAGAAGATATAACTCCAAAGAATTCTTAAAAGATGCATTTTTATATCATTGAAACAAAAGATAAAGCAAATTACTACCAAGAGAGGATCATCTCAAACTATACACTAAGCCATCATTGTGTCTTCAACTACTGCTGGGTGCATCTCCTGTCTTGGCTTCCCAGTCTTGAACCTTGCCCTCAGAAAGCACAACATGGCTGGTAAGAGTCTACCCTGAGCAGTCTCATGAACAAATCTTGCAGGGTAGCCATAACGTAAAATTAGCTGTTATGCAAGGACATATATAGCACATTTCCCCTCTCCCTCTCTCCCTGCCTCCTCTTCCATAAAGTGATTTTTATATAGAAAAAAAGCTTTTATATCTTATACATGAATGATGACTTGGAGAATGAGCTTTTCACTATATATATATATTTACACAGTTTCTTAATTGAGATAATTAAGCTGCACAGACCTCTGTCAGACACTTCAGTTGGGATTTGTAGCCTCTTAGTTCTTCTGTTAGGCTCCCCTTTTTCATCTGTAGATCACTTAGCTCTTTTCTTAAGGAATGGACTACTTCATAGAATTGGATCTAGAAAAAGAAGATATATATTCAAAATTCAGACTAGCAAAATTGCCATCACAAAACTACAATTCCCAAACCAAATCAGCTCAACATTTTATGGAAATAATTCACCAAATGATTTCTAGTGCATACCAGGAACGTGGTTGGGGCTGGGGAGGGTGGTGGTGGTAAATGTTAAAACAAAGACAGTGTCTTTCTTTAGCGTTTGACAGCAGCAGCTAGGAAAGAATCAGTTTGTGTTTGGCACTGAATAAAAAAAAAGAGGAGTAAAGGTAAAGCTATACATTTCTGTTCAACTAAGGCAGCTCCCAGTCAGGCTGCCCAATTAAAAAATGCAGCTGCTCATGGCCCCCATGGTCCCATCCCCTTACTTGTGCCAGCTCTAGAGCCTATTTGATTAACAGTGTGTGGGGGGGAGAAGCCTATTTAGCAATAAACCAACTTAACTTGCTAACTTCCCTCAAGCCAATATAAATTTTTATGGGGTGTGTAGAAATGGAGAGAGATTAGTTTTGTTTTCTGCCAGTTCAGTGTGCTGAATCTGCACCAAGAGAAATGCAAGAGCAAGCACAGGAAGCAGGAACAGCACATAACCAGGAAGAATCGTGATACACTCAATACACACACACTTTCAGCAGTAACACGTTGCTACACGGGTTCAGCTGAATTATGCAACTAAGCCTCGGAAAGACTCCACTCTGTTAAATTAACACTAAAAAGGCCTTGTAAAAAGATGTAAAAAAACCCCACAAAACACAAAACCCAAGCAACTCTAACACAGACTCCTCTCTCTTCTCCACTCCAGTCACAGGCATAGTCTCCGACAATTAAGTCACAGATCAATAAAACTTTTTCAGAACATTTCCAATAAACAAACAAAAAAAAAATATGATAGAAAACACAGTAAAACAAAACCACAGAGTCAGTAGTAAAAAAAACCAACAAAACCAGACAAAACAAAGAAGAAAGAGGGTTTTTTGATATACACCCACACACACGTACACAGAGGTTATTACTACCAGATTAACTTGATACCTTAAAATGTTTGTTTCAGGGGATGAAAATAAAAGAAAACATAATTAAGCACTATTCTCATGCAAAAGCTACTCCATAACCCCCATCATTAACACTGTTTGATACATGATTAAAGAAGAAATACAAGCAAGAAAGCACAGAAAGTAAGCATTCAAGAGCAAGCTGTACTCCACTTCCATGCAGAAGGAAGACAGGTCTCTGTTTTGCTACCTGTAAACAGCAGAAGACAAAGAAAATTTCCAGGTATATTCCATATAATGGACAGCATACAATTCTAAAAAAACACAGAAGTCATGAAAATTTGTGATGTAAACATAGGTGTAGTTTGCTTTATACAATAAAGCAAGTGCGCAACATGAGTGGAAGATTAACATCAAGGCAGAAAAGTGAAGTTTTCTAAGAAGTGGTGGGGTTATTTTTGTTTCTGTTTTCAAGCTTTTCCAAATACTATGTTTGTTAAAAGTTGCCATAGTTTGAATTTGTTGTACTCAGCAAGAGCTCCACTTTTCATCCCTACCTTTAGATGAAAAACAAACACAAACTAAAACAGGGTATATGCTATAAATGTAAAAGTTACTTTTTATTGACAAAGATGATTTCCCAAAATACAGTTGCTATTTTTTTAAATTTTTTTAAGATAGTAACAAGGGATTCTCAATTCATTATGTCTAAGTTTACACATAAAACGAACAAAATTAAGGATGGTTGTTAAAACTACAATTCAATTAAACCCAAACTAAGGTATGATAATTTTTTTTGTTCATGTGCTGAAAATTCCAAATGATAAATTGAACCATCAGATGCTACACTTAAAACTATAAATTGTCTTTCTGTTCTGGGAACTGAACTAACTACATATTATTGTCTTTTTTAACTGCTTCAATACTATTTTTCCTCTTGCAGTATCCTATTCCTTCAATATTTAAGGAGTTTTTTTACATCCATCTCTGAAATCCCATTGCTTCTAATGGGCTTGTGAAGTTAGTTTTATTGGCTCGTTCTAACTTCTGAACTGCAACAAGCTTCATCAACTTCCTTAGGAAAAAACCCAATTTTAAAAGTGTGCATGCAAAGCAGTGAGTAAATATAATTTTAGTCTCTTAACTATAGCTTCCGCTGACTACACTTTTTGTCTATCTGGATTCTTTAAGAACTTGTCTGGTTACATCTGAAACTGAGTAACTGAATTTCAATCAAGACCTCCCAAAAAAGTGACTACAAATTTTTAAATTTTTTTTGTTAAATAATAACCTTGACTGTCACTAATTGGTAACTATTTAAAGCATTGTGGCTTTTTTTAAACTTAAACTTTCTGAACTTAAAGCTTCTCCCTTAAATTCTTGCAGTTTTACTGTGATTTCCGTAGGAAAACTGACTTATGCCATAACACCTCATTTACTTCCCAAACTGTAACAACCCTAAACCAGATTACTTGGTATCAAACCAAGATGACACAGGATACAGTTATCAAGCATAAGCATAGCTGCACAGCCTGCCCAAGAGAAGATCAATCTGTGGTAATAAGAAAGTGCAAATGAGCGCAGCAGATGAGGAGAAGGTTCTAACAGAAGTTCAACTGTTATTGTTGCTTTGCTTGCTTGCTCGCCAATAAACATTCATGTGACTCAGCAGTCAAAGCACACACTGCTATATTGCCAAATCAATATAGCAGAAACACAAAATACTGTAATGGGATTTCACAGAGCACTGCATATCTTAAAAATTATAAATTTCTACAGATGTGCTTTAAGGAAGAAGTTACCACTTTCTAGGCGTTTTTTAAAAAACTCTCAGTGTGTGCCACTTTACTAGAGTTAAACTAAAAATGGGTGGGTGCAGAGGAAGGGAAAGTTGCCTTCTGTTAAATGGATTTATGTGAAAGTAGTTGTGTCAGCTAACTGCCTTCTTAAATAAAGAGCATCTAAGCTGTAGTTAACAAAACAATGCAACTGAAAGACATGGCAATTAAAATTGGATCAAACAATTTGCAGATACATCTTTAAATGTCAGTTTTAAACAATTTGGTAAAAAAAATTTAAAGGAGAATACATAAGAGTTTCACTTTACCAGACAAATTCAGTGACTCAGCTGCCAAGCACCAGTTCAAAGACCCGAAGTGCTTTAAAATTTTACATATACTGTTTCTAAAAAAGTCATTTTTATAAATAGTTAAAAAATAAAAGTTTAAAAGTTTAAAAGTTTAAAACAAAAAAAGTATGGTTTTAAGAGAAAGATGCTTAAACATAATTTTTCATTTCTCATCATCATTAATATTAAACATCACCTAGTCTTTGCTCTAACATGTCACTATGGCACCCCTCTGTGGAAGAACAGTGAAAAACACCTTACATTTGTTTTAATTCTAGTATTTTAAATTTGCAGTATCTCTATATACAAAACTTGTATTTAAGCACTTCCTGCTGTTTGTCCAGTTTACCAGGTTTCAAAAAAAGTGTAAGTATTATATACACATTCACTTCGAGCCTGGAGAATTGTAAGGCAGTATTTTATAATTGATAAACAGGAAAAAAATAAAAAGAGTCTGGAAATGTCTTGCTCAAATTTTCTAAGCAGAACTCTTTCTTGCCAAGGAGAATTTTTCCCTAATATCAATAGACTGTGCTATTAGTCTGCATATAGATCTGGAGTCAGAATTTTTATCTGCTTCAAAAATGCACAGTTCTTCCTTCGGTAAGCAAAGCAGAAAACAGTATCAGAAAAATTACGTTTTCCCTGCAATATGCTCTTCCTAGCCTTCAGAAACCAAACAGATGCATAGACAGCCTATGCAAATCAGTTCTGTAGCCTCCCAGCACCTGTATCAATTGAGTAACTCAAAGTAATGATAAATAATCACTGAGCTTAACCGATACTCTCAAGTTCACACTGACCCCATTGCTAAAGTCGCGAGAAGCAGCAGAAAACAGCATCTTACTGCAGTATATCTTTAAAACATCTTCTTGGGGGTTGAGGGGGAAAAAAAGGACAACTTCAGAAGTAAAAAGTGACATGTAAAGAGAAAGGGGCTTCAGTGAACACATAAGCAGTAGAATTTGAGTCACAGACAAAAGTAGCATTTACTGCTGAATGGAAAAGAAATGTAGATCGGGGTAGAAGGTGGCTGTTTCCCATGTCTCCCACTTCACATCTCTTTTAGAGTCCCTTTCTACTCACAAATACAATTTAAGCACTCCAGACAGCTTCACTTAAAGCAGCTGGCAAAGCTACTAACACCTTGTATCTGTCCTGCACCTGGCTACAGAGTCTTTTGTACTGACTATCAATCAACTCCTGAAGCCCTGGAGCTTCCTGAACACCAGTTTCAAGTAAGCTGACATGATTTCATTTTGTGTTAAAAATCTGCTTTGTCTACCATGGTGGCACAGGAATCAACAAAAAAAAAACCCAAACACTTCTATAGAGGGCAGTGGGTACAGCAGACAGCTAGGGTGTATGGGTGTAGTACCTTAATAGGTCCCAACCTATGCGTTCTTGTTTATTACTCAGAGCCTTAAGATTTTTCTAGTACTTTAAAGAGTCCAAGTTTTGGAACTTTTCAAAAGATGTTCCCAAGAACATCCTTCAGATAAGAATGACAAGTTTTACTTCTCTGTACATATCTAGAGCACAGTATACCATGACTTTCATCTAGCAAGACAACTCATCCATGCAGCATTTATGCCTCAACAAATGCACTAAGCTTTTATAATGTTATATTATTCCTTAATAACTAGCTCTATAGATAAGCACAATGCAAATACTTTGGTGAAGTAAAGTTTACATGTCTAAATTCTCTTCATTCTCAGAAGTGAGCCAGGATGCTCTGGACATGTCCCACAGTCTGTGAAGGCATTGTCCTTTTATCGCAAGCAGAGCATCCCCCTACCTCTCCATCTACCCATATGCCATAATTAACAAATTTCTTAAATCAAGAAAATTAGTCTTAAAGCACACTTTAAGGTGTGCTTTATCTCCTGCATTTAATCAGGTCAAAAAGGGCCAGATAGAAAGCATGAGGGAAAGGTAAGGGATGTTTACAAGAGCCATCTCAACTTGTGGTTTTGGCAAGCCAAGTTTCAAATTCCTATTTTCAGCCTGCTATATTTCGTATCATCAAGGTGTGCCCACCATTTACTCTTAATACCCCCATTTGCTTTACCCTCTTAAAATACATCAGCAGTTCTAGTCTGTTAGTCTCTTTAAGACATTGGAGTCTAGGATTAAAAGGTTCTCATTACTGGAATCTAGTCAAAATGGACTGATCCAGAAGTACATCTGCCTCCAAAGGTTTTTCATTTCTAGTTGGGCAAGAATAAGAATTCTAGCAGTATAGACTGGCTTCTACTATATAAGGCACATACCTTTTTTTGCTAAAAAAAACAAAACAATTTACAGCTTGTGGTGGGCTGACCCTAGCCAGCAGCCAAGCACCCATAGAGCCACTCACTTGCTGCCTCCAGTGGGAGCAGGACAGAGGAGAAAGTGGGAAGAACAAATCCAAGAAAACTCAGGTGCTGAGTTATCTTAACAGTTTAATTAGTGAAGGAAAGAGGAAGATGAATTAAAAAAAAAAATAAAAAAATCAGCCAAGCAAAGACAGTCACTCACACCTCCCACAGACAAACTGATGCCCAGCCAGTTTCTCATCAATAATCACCTTGGTAGCCACATCTCCCCTGCCCCCAATCTCTATGTCCAGTTTATATTGCTAAGCAAGGCGTTAGTTGGCATGGAATATTCATTTGGCCAATTCAGGTCAGCTGTGTTCCCTCTCGATCTCATGAGCACCCCTACCCTGCCCACGGTGCACAGGGGAAGGCAGAGTGTGGAGAAGAGAAAGCCTTGATGCTGTGCAAGCACTGTCCAGCAATGGCCAAAACACTGGTGTTACTGACACTGTTTTAGCCACAAATCCAAAACACAGCAAGATTCAGGCTGCTATGAAGAACATAAACTCCACCCCAGCTAGATTCAGGACACAGCTATATTTTAAAACCAATTAAAAAAAAAAAAATCAACACTCACAGAAACATATTCAGGGATAGAAAGCTGATCTTCAGGAAGAGACTTTAGCTTCTCATAGCAATCATCCGTTAATTCCAAATCTCGCAAGCTACGACGGATATCTCCGGCCCTCTCCCTTAACTGATGATTAGTTTCCTCCAGCTGCTTCTGTCTCAATAAAATAGTTTCCATTTCTTGTTTCATTAGAGCCTGATGTTTTCTTCAAGATAGATTTGAAAACAGAAGACGTTAAGTAGTGAGTAACACAAGTCAAAAACCTTCACAATACCTTGGGTAGGGAGTGAGTTACGCTCATTTTGGATAGGGGAAAATTTACAGATATTAGTACAGGAGCATATACCACCAGGGTTACACAATCATATCAGACAGGTTATACATAAAACACCAGGAACTTCATAGTCATTGACAATACAAAGCTGAACCTGAGAAGTGGCAATCCCTACATATGACGACTTGAATTTATAAATTAAGTCTTAATTTACCAATTAAAAGGTTAAAAACATGAAAAAGCAAAATATATTTCCACACAAACCCCAAAGCATTAGTCAATTACCAAATAAAGCAATAGCAACTTCAATACGTGTCCTGTCCAGTTTCAGCATATACATGCTTATGGCCTATTCCACAAAGAACCCCTCATTTTCTACCCAATGTAACATACAAAGTTTGGGTTCTTTTTAAACCACAAAATAACAACTAATAACAAAACACCCCCAAAACAAAAACCAAACGCCACTACCCTTAAACAACCAACCTTATTTCCAGCCTTAAAACGCTGTCATTACTGTTATCACCAGGGGCAAGTTATTATACGGCAAGGGAAACTGCGCATCACTTAGAGATGTTTCAAAGTGTTTATTTTATTTAAATCAAAGCAACTGACCTCCTTTTTGGGAGGTTTTAGCTGTAACTCTTGAAAACACATTCCAATTAAGTCATCCTTCAAAATGTAACTCTTATATTATTTAAAAAGTGTACTGGGTTTGCATGGCAAAATTTTGGTAATGGGGAAGGGGGTAAAATGGGCTACAGGGGTGGCTTCTGTGAGAAGCTGATAGAAGCTTCCCCTGTGTCCCCTAGAGCCAATGCCAGCCAGCTCCAAGACAGACCTGCAGCTGGCCAAGGCCAAGCCAACTAGTGACAGTGGTAGCGCCTCTGGGATAACATTTAAGAACAGGTAAAAAGATGCAGATGAACAACAGCAGAGAGAGGAATGAGAATACATGAGAGAAACAGTCCTGTGAACACTAAAGTCAGTGGAGGAGTGGAGTGGAGATTCCCCTGCAGCCTGTGGTGAAGACCATAGTGAGGCAGGCTGTGCCCCTGCAGCCCATGGAAGTTCACAGAGGAGCAGATATCCACCTGCAACCTGTGGATGACCCCATGTCAGAGCAGGTGGATGCATGAAGGAGGCTATGGCCCCGTGGAAAGCCCATGCTGGAGCAGGCTCCTGGCAGGGCCTGCGGATCCATGCAGAGAGGAGCTCACACTGGAGCAGGTTTGCTGACAGGACTTGTGATCCTGCGGGGGACCCATACGAGAGCAATCTGTTCCTGATGGGATCCACACTGGAGCAGTTCATGAAGAACTGTAGGCCGTGAGGGCTCAGGAAGGACTCATGTTGGAGAAGTTTGTGGAGGACTGCCTCCTCTGGGAGGAATCCCACACTGGAGCAAGGGAAGAGTGAGGAGTCATCCCCCCAAGAAGGAAAGAATGGCAGAAACAATGTATGATGAACTGACCACAACCTCCTTCCCCATCCTCCTGAACCACTGGGTGGGGAAGAGACAATCAGGAGTGAAGTTGAGCCCAGGAAGAAGGGAAGGGTAGGAGGAAAGTGTTTTAAGATTTGTTCAAGCCAACTAGTGACAGTGGTAGCGCCTCTGGGATAACATTTAAGAACAGGTAAAAAGATGCAGATGAACAACAGCAGAGAGAGGAATGAGAATACATGAGAGAAACAGTCCTGTGAACACTAAAGTCAGTGGAGGAGTGGAGTGGAGATTCCCCTGCAGCCTGTGGTGAAGACCATAGTGAGGCAGGCTGTGCCCCTGCAGCCCATGGAGGTTCACAGAGGAGCAGATATCCACCTGCAACCCATGGATGATCCCATGTCAGAGCAGGTGGATGCATGAAGGAGGCTATGGCCCTGTGGAAAGCCCATGCTGGAGCAGGCTCCTGGCAGGGCCTGCGGATCCATGCAGAGAGGAGCTCACACTGGAGCAGGTTTGCTGGCAGGACTTGTGATCCTGCGGGGGACCCATACGAGAGCAATCTGTTCCTGATGGGATCCACACTGGAGCAGTTCATGAAGAACTGTAGGCCGTGAGGGCTCAGGAAGGACTCATGTTGGAGAAGTTTGTGGAGGACTGCCTCCTCTGGGAGGAATCCCACACTGGAGCAAGGGAAGAGTGAGGAGTCATCCCCCCAAGAAGGAAAGAATGGCAGAAACAATGTATGATGAACTGACCACAACCTCCTTCCCCATCCTCCTGAACCACTGGGTGGGGAAGAGACAATCAGGAGTGAAGTTGAGCCCAGGAAGAAGGGAAGGGTAGGAGGAAAGTGTTTTAAGATTTGTTTTTGTTTTCTCATTACTCTAATTTGACTGGCAATAAATTAAGTTAATTTTCCCCAAGCTGAGTCTGTTTTGCCTGTGACAGTAACTGCTGAGTGATCTCTCTCTGCCCTTATCTCAACCCGCAAGCCTTTCCTTTTATTTTGTCTCCCCTGTCCAGCTGAGGAGGTGAGTGATAGGTGAGCAAGGCTTTGGTGGCATCTACCCAGGGTCAACTCACCACAAAGCAACATTAAAAATGCTAGCTAGTACTACATGGCAACGTCTGCCCTACTTGTTTCAAAAAGATGAAAGAAAATCCCAAGTCAGCAAAGCAGTCACACACAAGACATATTCTGGTGTACGATTCTGTTAAACGGGGATGAAAAGTGAGGTAAAAGACAGACAGGAAAACTAATGAAAAGACCAGGGAAAGAAAAGTAGTTCAACTTTTTTATGCCTATTAATAACAGTTCGCACATCAGTACTTTTTTTACTGAGCACTTCTCTGATAACTCAAGTATGGCCAACATAAAAATATTCCACCCTGGTGCAAATAAGCTTACGGAATGACAGACATTTTTCTGACAGTCAGCTGCTCTTAGGTGAAAGACTTTGCTGTAACTCATCTCAGGTCTGGCTTCATACCCCTAAATCTGTTCCAATCTTACTAAAGAGTATGACTTTGAATCAGTCACATCCTGTATGCTGGTGCATCCTCTAGCAAGAGAAAATCAAGTAATGCTCTTCCTTCACAGTCCTATTACAGGTGCTAAAACATTTAATTGACAAAGTAATTTGGAGAAGCCTTCTAGCCAAATGGTTTTCAGCTACAGGTTACCTCAAATGTTTCAGAAAAGCAAGGAGAAAAGTAAGTTTCTACATCATCAACTGAAAGCACTTCAGACCAATAAGCAATCCTAACTGGAAGTGCTAAATATTATCCCCTTATATTTCCCAAGACATTTAGGCTGCAGAGTTATTAAAAATTCACTTTAAGTTGATAGAAAGTCCACCCTCTTTACTTACTCCTTTCACTCTTTACTGGTTTTAAAAACATTCTTACTCCAAGTTCCTATTATATTTTGAATCCAGGTAACAATAAAATCAAAATCAAACTTCAGCAAGTTTCAAACTTATTGATATGTTAATTGAATACGTAAACTCCATTTTTAGAATGAAAATACTAATATAATCTTCAAAAGAAAAACAACTCCTGTAATTCATAATCATTGTTTTCCATTAACTGTTGTCCTGGTTTCAGGTGGGATGAAGGCTATTTTCTTTCTAGTAAAACCATGACAACTGACCATGAATAAATTTGAATTCATATTAATAAGTTATTACAGATGAAGGTTTTTTTTGTTTTACTTCCATCATACCTAGCATCTTCTTGCTGCAGTGCTAGCTGACTATCCAGTCGTAAAGACAACAGCTGCTTTTGATGGATTGCATCATTAAGCTTCTCTTCTAGCTCTTCAATCTAAATATAAAGAATATAAAATTAAGAAAAGAAGTTACTTTGGTAATTTTTAAAACATGTTTGACAAAAAGAACAACTTCATAGAAAAATGTGGAGAGCCCAATGCACTGGGAAGTACAGTAACAATTGTCTAACAAGATATGTAAATATGCTAAGGCTTCATAAAATACCATATGGATTTCGCCCTAATGAACTAGAAATAAAAAAGACTTAGTTCTACAATTGTGAGAAACTGGCCATGAGAACCTAACAAAAAAACAGGATGTCCCAAAGCTCACTTCCTGCAAGATATCTACCACCTGTGTACATGATATAACATCAAAGGAGGTATGTCCTTGGTTCATCTGACCTTGTGTCTTAACTGCACCCTCGGAATCATTACGAACCCCGCCCGGACCAATCGGACCGGGACCGTACAACAATTCATCTTTTTTAGCCAAATAGCTACTTGTTCAGCTGATTTCAAATTAGGCCTAAACTCAGAGCAGCAAGCCAGTGAAAGCCACTGTTGGTATATAATAAGTTGTAAATGGGGACTGGACACAAACATGGCAAAACTTTTATACCTTTCTTATTTCGTGTATCTCATTGGAAACTGTACCCAACAAAATCTCCTACTGTAGACATGTTGGTATATTCTAGTCACACCTTCATTAACAGATCATTGAACAGCATTTGGATGACTTTCTAACGTCCTGCAAGTTCAGGTTAAAAGCTCTATTAAGTTGCTTACATCAGTGACAAAATCACTCATTTCTGAAAGAATACAGGTCTTTCTTTTCCCTTTGTTTTCAGAAAAGGAAAAATTAATTCGATCCCTCTCATCCATTTATAAGTATAATACGTTGGACAAATCAGCTAAGTTTTACATATCTCGTTTCCTCCATTTCTCATTTAAAAAAAAAAAAAAAAGTTAAGTAAGCTTCCAGTATGCAATTCTCAGAAATTCTTTTCAGAATGGAAGGTTCTATCATACTCTAAAAGCACCAGAAACAAGAAAAGATTAGATGACAAAAGAAGAAACATTTCTTACCTTGGTTAAGTATTCTACTTTCAAGTTGTCAATCATCAGGTTTTTCTGAGATAATTCTATTTTAAGCAGCTGAAGATTATGGAGCAACTCTTTCCGTTCAATCAGCTGCTTAGTGATTTTAACAGTGCCTTCTCTCTCTTCAGAGGAAGAAACATCGTCGGTTGGTATTGTAGTTTCTAAGCTAATATCTTCAGACTCCAAGGAGCTAGAAATGTTTACTTTCCTGATTTCCTTAGAGCTTTTATACGACATTTTCCTTCACTATTTGCAAACCTTTTCAGAGTTATACATTGAGATAAGCCCCCTCTAGAATCAGCTGGAAAAAAAAAAACAAAACAAAATAATTAAGTGAAAGGCATTACATCATTACGAAAATATAACCAGTTCAGACCACTAAGCAATACTTTTCAGCATCACATGGTTACATTTTTTTTTTTCTTCCCAAATAATTACTTGGTCTTCCCAAATAATTTCTAACAAGGGGTTTGACTGCAATAAGCTAGATGCTGGTGTAAAACAGGCTTACCAGTAAGATGCTATAGCTAACACAAGACGTGCACCTGCCATTCACACCATCAGATGTGCATGCACCGAAAGCTCCACAGAGCCATGAGGCACACAGTGTCAGAGAGCACCCAATAAGGGTGTAACAACCCCAGCTAGATAAAATGGTAAAGGAGTAGAATCATAGAATGGTTAGAGTTGGAAAGGACCTTAAATATCATCAAGTTCCAAACCCCGTGCCATGAGCAGAGACACCTCCCACTAGAGCAGGCTGCTTAAAGCCCCATCCAGCCTGGCCTTGAACACTTCCAGGGATGGGGCATGCAGAACTTCATAGAATCATAGAATGGTCTGGGTTGGAAGGGACCTTAAAGTTCATTGAGTTCCAACCCCCCTGCCCTGGTCAGGGACACCTCCCACCAGACCAGGTTGCTCAAAGCCCCATCCAGCCTGGCCTTGAACACCTCCAGGGATGGGGCATCCACAGTTTCTCTGGGCAACCTGTTCCAGTGCCTCACCACCCCCACAGTAAAGAATTTCTTCCTCATATCTAATATCCTCCCCTCTTAAGTACTTTGATACCCACCGTTGTCTTCCCTGAAGATGTAACTCCATTGCTCTCGTCAGGTTAACTTGCTACATCTTTCCACAAGGGAGCTACTTTTACAGCCACGGGGTACAGACCACAGCTTGTACTGAAGAGAGGCACAGACTTACGCGCGTTGCTCCGAGCCCTACAGAGAAAGGAGATGCTGCTCTCGGAGCCCAGGGCCAGCGCCGGCCGGGGCTGCCCTACGGCGAGAGGCGGGGAGCCCGCCGGGGGCCTGCTCTCCTGGGGGGGCCGCCGCCGCAAGGCAGCACCACCCCCTTCCCCACGCCGGAGGAGACGCTGTTCCCTCTCCCCCCGCCCCGACGCCCAACTCTGCGGAAGCCAACAGGCCCGCCCGGTAACGGGGAGCGAGGGGGAGCCGACCCTACCCCACCGATCACCCACCCGCACCGGGAGAGGAGGCCCGGCGCCCGGGCCGAACCCGCTCTCCCTCCCTCACCTCAGCCGGCACCGAGACCGCCGGCGCACGCGCGCCTTCCCGCCCCTCCTCTCAGCGCAGCCGAGGCGGGGCCGCGCGACGCCATCACCACGGCGACGCGGGGCGCGGGGCCCGGCCGCCGCGCGCCGCTTCCCGCGCGGCACGCTGGGTAGGCGGAGCTTCCCA